AAAAGAAAAGAAAAATTAGCTGGGTATGATGGCATACACCTGTAGTCCCAGCTACTCGGAAGGCGGAGGTAGAAGATTGCTTGAGCCTGAGAGATTGAGGCTGCAGTGAGCCATGATTGCACCACTGCACTCCAGAGTGAGGGGCAATGAGATCTTGTCTCAAAAAAAAAAAAAAAAAAAAAAAAAAAAAAAAAAAAGGTTTGCCGGGCGCGGTGGCTCAAGCCTGTAATCCCAGCACTTTGGAAGGCCGAGGCGGGTGGATCACGAGGTCGAGAGATCGAGACCATCCTGGTCAACATGGTGAAACCTCGTCTCTACTAAAAAGTGCAAAAAATTAGCTGGGCATGGTGGCACGTGCCTGTAATACCAGCTACTCAGGAGGCTGAGGCAGGAGAATTGCCTGAGCCCAGGAGGCGGAGGTTGCGGTGAGCCGAGATCGCGCCATTGCACTCCAGCCTGGGTAACAAGGGCGAAACTCCGTCTCAAAAAAAAAAAAAAAAAATGTCATCGGGTGGGATGGCTCATGACTGTAATCCTAACACTTTGGGAGGCCAAGGCGGGCGGATCACCTGAGATCGGGAGTTCAAGACCAGCCTGACCAACATGGTGAAACCCTGTCTAAAAAAGAAAAAGACTTTTGTGTAGTCTGCTTGTATGCCTCCTTTCATTCATAGTTTGCTTTAGCATAGGGCCTGGCACAAAATAGCTTCTCATTCATTCAACAATAAATGGCTGAATGAATATATATATGTGCCCAGGCAGGAGTGCAATGATGTGATCTCTGCTCACTGTAACCTCTCCCTCCCGAGTTCAAGAGATTCTCCGGTTTCAGCCTCCCAAGTAACTGTGCACTACTATGCCCAGCTAATTTTTTTGTATTTTTAGTAGAGACAGGGTTTCTCCATGTTGGCCAGGCTGGTCTTGAACTCCTAACCTCAGGTGATCCACCCACCTCAGCCTCCCAAAGTGCTGGGATTACAGGGGTGAGCCACCACACCTAGCCAAATAGAGGAATATTGAATGAATGAATAAAGAGGCTTCTGACAATGTCAGAAGACTTGGTTCCTGGTTGTGGCCTTTGTCATGCTCCTTATCCATCCATCCATAAATTGGCAGAGTGGAAGGCTGGGCGTGGGGGCTCACACCTGTGATCCCAGCACTTTGGGAGGCCGAGGGGGGCAGATCACAAGGTCAAAAGATCGAGACCATCCTGGCCATGATGAAACCCCGTCTCTACTAAAAATACAAAAATTAGCTGAGTGTGGTGACATGCACCTGTAGTCCCAGCTACTTGGGAGGCTGAGGCAGAAGAATTGCTTGAACCCAGGAGGTGGAGGTTGCAGTGAGCAGAGATTGTGCCACTGCACTCCAGCCCGGTGACAGAGCAAGACTCCATCTAAAAAAAAAAAAAAAAAAAAAAAAAAAAAAAAAAAAAAAAAAAATTGGCAGAGTGGAACAGCCAGTGGTATAAACTGAAAATGTCTGCTGAACCAGGCAGGAAATGGAAATGTGTGAAATGGCTGGGTGAAAGGCAGTAGGGAGTGGTGGAGACTATGGCACATATATAAATGTTTACATTTACAGCATATTTAAACATTGAGTTGAAATTCTTGTATTTAATGTGGAAAGAGACTTCTCAGAGTGGATATCTTATAATTTGACACCCTCCCCGAAATTCTGGTTGATACTTTGCATGTCCTGAGGGGCAGTGTAGTTTAACTGAGGTTAAAAAGCAGATGAGTGGGCCGGGCGCGGTGACTCACACCTGTAATCCCAGCACTTTGGGAGGCCGAGGCAGGTGGATCATGAGGTCAAGAGATCGAGACCATCCTGGTCAACATGGTGAAACCCCGTCTCTACTAAAAATACAAAAATTAGCTGGGCATGATGGTGCACTCCTGTAGTCCCAGCTACTAGGGAGGCTGAGGCAGGAGAATTGCTTGAACCCAGGAGGCGGAGGTTTCAGTGAGCCAAGATAGTGCCATTGCACTCCAGCCTGGGTAACAAGAGCGAAACTCCGTCTCAAAAAAAAAAAAAAAAAAAAAAAAGCGGATGAGTGCCAAAGACCTTTTCCTGAGATGGAGGTGTTGATAGCATGCATCTGCTCATTGCTTCCAGAGCTAACTGTGTTACCAGGCTCTTAGTAAATGGGCAAGGTCCAGCCTTGGCTCAGGAAATCAGACTTGAGCCCTGGACACACCCATGCTCCCAAAGCAGGAAAATCCTCAGAGTTGATAAGGGGAGTCACTGAGTGAGCATTAACCAGCCAGGGGTATGGTTCCTGCAGGGTTCCAGAAGGTGGTTTATCATGGGCCGTTTGCCCAGAGATGAGTTTGGAGGTGCAATAGGCAGTCTTAGCTTCATTCTACAGATGGGGAACCTGAATCTCTGAGAGGTTATCTGACCTCCCCAATGTCACAAAGCGGGTGTATGACAGAGCCATCATACGAGCCCAGATCTGTTTTTGAAGCACATGCTCTATCAATTACACCGGTGTCCTACCCTTTCAGGGAGTATGGACCCCTTTAGTTGCCACGGAGACTACACTTCCTCTATTGATGCTACTGTAATCTGCAACTCATCTAGATTCTTCAAGCGTCAATTAGGGCAACATAAGAATTCCAGTTTTATTATTTTAAAGTCACTTCCAGATGTTTGGATTTTCTCACCAAGCTGGAAAAGTGTTATTCTCAAGACTTTCCCTTTAGTCTCAACCTCTCTTTGAGAGGAAAATTCTTCCACTGATGAGAAAATTTATTTTATTCATTTATCTATTTTTATTTCTTATTATTAGTATTTTTTTCACACGGAGTGTTGCTCTATCACCCAGGCTGGAGTGCAGTTATGCAATCTCGGCTCACCGCAACCTCTGCCTCCTGGGTTCAAGTGATTGCTGAGAAAGTTTAAAAGTGCATGTTGCAAGTGTTGAAGGTGGTCAGTGAGAGTGGGTAGAACATTTTTTTGGCACTTTTAAGGGAAGCAGCACCTGCTTCCAAGGAGCTACAGACCTCTGGCTCTACGTGAACATCTCTGTTGGCCTGGGAACCTGTCTCAGGCTTTCCCTCCCTCCTCAGAAGCACAGATGGGACAAGCTGTGGTGGGCAGGTACAGGGTTCTCTGCTCCTTTTATGTTCTTATCTTTGATCCAGGCTGTTTTGAGGGGATGGTGTCCGTTAAGGGCCTCTTGGGATCTTGGGGTCACTGTCCATACAGCTCAAGCCCAGGATCTTCTCGGCACCATTTTGCTGTGACCAGCTCACAGCTGTGACCCTGCAATCCTGGCCCTCAGAGAAGGTGCTCCTTCCTTCCCACAGGCAAGGCTGTGTCTTCCTTTTATTCGTATGTATCAGATATCTGGTCTTCCTCACCCGCACTCCTCACAGAGGCTGAGGCTTCCAGAATGCATGCTCCCCTTTCCTCTCCATGGTTCCCAAGAGGAGGTGAGCTCAGTGATCAGTGGGGCACATGGCCTTTGATTCTTCCTTTTGGTTGCCTCTCCAGCACATGTGTTTACTTTGTGTGTGGTTTATTTCTTTACCTTTTATGGGGGGTCGGGGTGGAAAAGAATGAAGGAAGAAGAGAAAGACACAGAAATGGCCAGCTCTTGCATTGCTGGTAGGTGATTCACCTTGCCAAAGGAGTTCTTGGTGAGGGTCTGACACAGCACGGAGCAGCCACTGGAGACGTGTTAGCTTCTCAGCTAATACATTTCCAAGGCCTCTCCACTGCTGTTCTGAAGGCCCAACCCTGGCCCTTGGTGCTGCACCTGCCACCCCTGCCTCAGCTCCCTTCTGTCTCTTAACGGTCCTTTTTCATGGCATTCTCTCCTGCTTACTGACTCTCTGGGTCTTCATTGCTCTCAAGATAAACCCCAAACACTGAGGGCTTTCCAGGACTTTCCATAGCCCCCGCTGAACCCTCTGCACCCCTTTTGTCCTGATGCTGCTGTCCAGTTGCTGACTTCTCCTCTAACACTCATGTTTCCTGACTGGCCCTTTCTGCATCCTTACTTCACCCCAAAACACACATACCCCTCACCATACACTCCAATAGGCACACAGTCACACAGACACCACACACACAAACCACACACCACACAAATGCATCACACATACACCATACATGTCACACACATCACACACACAACCATACACCACATATCACACTCCTCACACCACACACATGCATCACACACACATGACACACATACACCACACACACTACAGCAGAGGCCAAGTAGGCAGGTTTGAAATGCAGAAAAGGGCCCGGAGCTGGGTTCAGGGAGGTCCCCACCTCTCCTGCCCCATTCTGAAGGCGTGTTTATGCCCGCGGCGAACACAGCACTGCAGAGCTTGGGAACTGAGCCTGGGAGTGCGACGTATGGAAGGGATGTGGAAAGTCTGGCCTGTGACAAAACAAGGACTCTGACTTACCCTGGGTACCACTGTCCCCAGAGCCCTGGGCCAGGGAAACTCTGCCCATCAGCCCAGAGGGGGCCGGGTGTTCTCTTCTGCGGCTGTGGAGGGTGCAGTGATGGGGCTTCTCACCTTGCTGTGAAAATCGGATTAGAAGGGAGCTTAGTTAAGAGATAAGCCGCTCAGACCTGAGCCATCTGTGCCCTCTGAGCTTCAGCTGTGTTCACCCGGAGCACAAACACCCCGGGATGGGGAAGCAGAGGTAAGGACTTCCCTGAACCAAGTCCCTCCGTGTGCCAGGCCCTTTGTGGGCACTCCCACACCTGGCTATTTGCCCTCTGAGTAGGTCCCGTCATCTCAATTTCCTAGAAAAGACACAATATGCCCAGCTCACACGGAACACCCTTAGCAGGTTAGGGCTTCGAGCCCTGGTGTGCTGGACCCAGGGCCTCTGTCTCTGCTCCTAACATAGTTACACTGTGTTGTGACAAAGAGTGGCCTGCAGGTAAGGCTTTAGGGACAGGTTTCTTCCAGCAGAAAGCTGTGCCTCAGGCTCTATTACCAACCTTGTCAAATAAGGATATGTCTGCATTGAGTTGATTTATTTTATTGATGACTTGTTTGTCTGGATGTTCTTTCCAGCAGACTCATGTCAGGAGGCTAGGAAGGGATTCCTCGGGGACCACTGGACGCTGGTGGTTAAATGCCAGGGGTTTGAATGAACCTGAACATGGAGCTGACTCTGCAGTCTTGGTCAGCCACCCTTGGAGGCTTGTCACCCTGCACCCGAGCAGGATTGATGGTCTCTGGATTTGTGGCTGTGACCAGTCACGGTGGAACAATTGACTGCCTTGGAGAGGCTCACATAGTGGACTGAGGCTGTGTGGGCTGAGGTTGGACCATCATAGCTCTAAAAGTTGATGGCACAATTGAGACAAGGATGTGAAGTTCCAGAACTTGCCCAGCATCTTTGCTGCCTGAGATGAAACCCTCCAGCATTGCAGCTCGCTGCTGTGACGTCTGAAAGGGGAGACAGGAGGCTGCTGGGCATCTCAGGTGCCAGGCATGAAGGTCTCGGCTGTCTGGAGTCTTGCTTTGGGAGTGCTACACTTGTGGAAGTGCCCCAGGCACCACCCAAGGGCGGACCTCTGCCTCAATCTTGCATGGTTTGCAGAGCCTCACATGTTGTCCTGGGAGGAGCAATGAGTAGACAAGAGGGACAAGGACAGGAAGGTGGCAAAGTCAGAGCCAGATTGGGGGAAGAGAGAAGAAAACACAATTAGGATGCATTTTCTTTTTTTCTTTTTTTTTTTTTTGAAACAGAGTTTCGCTCTTGTTTCCCAGGCTGGAGTGCAGTGGCGCGATCTCGTCTCACCGCAACCTCCTCCTCCTGGGTTCAAGCAATTCTCCTGCCTCAGCCTCCCGAGTAGCTGGGACTACAGGCACACGCCACCATGCCCAGCTAATTTTTGTATTTTTAGTAGAGACGGGGTTTCACCATGTTGACCAGGATGGTCTTGATCTCTTGACCTCGTAATCCACCCGCCTCGGCCTCCCAAAGTGCTGCGATGACAGGCATGAGCCACCGCGCCCAGCTAGGATGCATTTTCAAACACAATTTAAAAAAAAATCAAAGCAATAATTAGGTCTTATCCTTTTCCCTGGAGGCCCAGAAGGGGCTTTTCATGGCAAACATGACCAGCCCACATTATTTCAGTCCCAACAGGGGAAAAGAAATCTAATTGATTGGCAGAATAGGAAGAGAGGGTGGCTGATCTTAAGTGGAGCCTACCTGAGCTGCCTCAGGTCTGGGAGGCCTGTTTCTAATGACTCTGGTAGGAGGGTCTGCAGATGGATGTGCAGGCCCTTGGGCCCCCAGCTGTCTTCCTCCAGACAGCACATGCCAGACAATGTGTCCCCAAAGCACATTTGCATCTTTTTGACACACCAGTCCCATTTATGGAAGGAATAATACACAAGAAAGAAAAAGCTGCATGCATTAAACTATTTCTTTTTAAGAGAGATTGGCAGGGGCGGGAGGCGGTCTCATTATGTTGCCCAGGTTGGTCTCGAACTCCTGGCCTCAAGCTATCTGCCTGCCTCAGCCTCCCAAAGTACTGGGATTACAGCATGAGCCATTATGCCTGGCCCATAGTTTCTGTTTTTTTGGGTTTTTTTGAGACAGAGTTTTGCTCTTGTTACCCAGGCTGGTGTGCAATGGCGCGATCTCGGCTCACCGCAACCTCTGCCTCCTGGGTTCAGGCAATTCTCCTGCCTCAGCCTCCCGAGTAGCTGGGATTACAGGCACACGCCACCATGCCCAGCTAATTTTTTTGTATTTTTAGTAGAGACGGGATTTCACCATGTTGACCAAGAGGGTCTCGATCTCTTGACCTCGTGATCCACACGCCTCGGCCTCCCAAAGTGCTGGGATTACAGGCTTGAGCCACTGTGCCCAGCCATAGTTTTGTTTTTAATTGCAGAAAAAAAAAAGTCTAGAAACAATCTGAATATCCTGTAATAAAGAAATTGTTAATTTGTAATGATAATTTGGCCGGGGCAGCGGCCCACACCTGTAATCCTAGCACTTTGGGAGGCTGAGTTGGGCAGATCACTTGAGCCCAGGGGTTCAAGAGCAGCCTGCACAACATGGTGAAACCCGTCTCTACCAAAAATACAAAACTTTGCTGGGCATGGTGGCGCACACTTGTGGTCCCAGCTACTCAGAAGGCTGAGGTGGGAGGATCACCTGAGCCTGGGAGGTTGAGGCTGTGGTCAGCCATGATTGAGCCACTGTATTATAGGCTGATGACAGAGTAAACCCTTGTCTCAAAATAAATAAATAAATAAATAATAACAAAATAACAATGAATAATAATTTATGATGATAAAAATGTTTCATGGGGACAAAACCCAGTGATTATGATGACTGTGTAGCAACAAGAAGAAAAATACTTCTGACTTAAATTTAAAATTTTTTTTTTTTCGAGACAGAGTTTCACTCTTGTTACCCAGGCTGGAGTGCAATGGTGCGATCTCGGCTCACCACAACCTCCGTCTCCTGGGTTCAGGCAATTCTCCTGCCTCAACCTCCTGAGTAACTGGGATTAGAGGCACGTGCCACCATGCCCAGCTAATTTTTGTATTTTTAGTAGAGACGGGGTTTCACCATGTTGACCAGGATGGTCTCAATCTCTGGACCTTGTGATCCACTCGCCTTGGTCTCCCAAAGTGCTGGGATTACAGGCTGGAGCCACCACACCCGGCCTAAAATTTTTTTAAATGAGTTACAATTAATTAAAAATAAGGCTGGGCGTGGTGGCTCACGCCTGTAATCGAAGCACTTTGGAGGCCAAGGTGGGCGGATCACCTGAGGTCGGGAGTTCAAGACCAGCCAGACCAACATGGTGAAACCCCGTCTTAAAAATAAATAAATAGGCTGGGCGCGGTGGCTCAAGCCTGTAATCCCAGCACTTTGGGAGGCCGAGGCGGGTGGATCACGAGGTCAAGAGATCAAGACCATCCTGGTCAACATGGTGAAACCCCGTCTCTACTAAAAAATACAAAAAATTAGCTGGGCATGGCGGCGCGTGCCTGTAATCCCAGCTACTCAGGAGGCTGAGGCAGGAGAATTGCCTGAACCCAGGAGGCGGAGGTTGCAGTGAGCCGAGATCGCGCCATTGCACTCCAGCCTGGGTAACAAGAGCGAAACTCCGTCTCAAAAATAAATAAATAAACAAATAAATAAATAAATAAATAAAACCAGGCCGAGGGTGGTACCTCAAGCCCGTAAACTCAGCACTTTGGGAGGCCGAGGCGGGCGGATCACAAGTTCAAGAGATCGAGACCATCCTGGTCAACATGGTGAAACCCTGTCTCTACTAAAAAAATACAAAAATTAGCTGGGTGTGGTGGCGTGTGCCTGTAGTCTCAGCTACTCGGGAGGCTGAGGCAGGAGAATTGCTTGAACCCAGGAGGCGGAGGTTGCGGTGAGCCGAGATCACGCCATTGTACTCCAACCTGGGTAACATGAGCGAAACTCCATCTCAAAAAAATAATAATAATAAATAAAAATAAAACCAAGTAAACATGTTTGTATAAAAAACAAAGAACACAAGAATAAGAAGGGTTACTTAGTTATGGTCATGAGATTATTCTTTCTCCTTTGTTTTCACACTCAGCTACCTTTTTTATTTTTGTAGACACAGGGACTTACTATGCTGCCCAGGTTGGTCTCAAACTCCAGCAACCCTGCGTTGGCCTCCCAAAGTGCTAAAGTGCTGGGATTACAGGCGTGAGCCATTGCATCTGGCCCATTTTTTTTTTTTTTTTTTGAGACGGAGTTTCGCTCTTGTTACCCAGGCTGGAGTGCAATGGCGCGATCTCCGCTCACCGCAACCTCCGCCTCCTACTGAGGAGGCTGAAGTGGGAAGATTACTTGAGTCCAGGAGTTTGAGGCTGCAGTGAGCTATGATTGCACCACTGCACTCCAGCCTGGGTGACAGAGGAAGATCCTGCTTCTTAAAAAACAGCAACAAAAAGGCTTGCTGCTATAAAGATTACTTTAAATTGTCTAAATAATCTTCAAAAAGCCTCTTTTTTTTTTTTTTTTTTTTTTGATGGAGTCTCGTTCTGTTGCCAGGCTGGAGTGCAGTGGTGCAATCTCAGCTCACTGCAACCTCTGCCTCCTTGGTTCAAGCAATTCTTCTGCCTCAGCATCCCAAGTAGCTGGGACTACAGACGCATGACACCATGCTCGGCTAATTTTTGTATTTTTAGTAGAGATGGGGTTTCACCATGTTGGCCAGGATGGTCTCGATCTCTTGACCCCATGATCCGCCCGCCTCAGCCTCCTAAAGTGCTGGAATTACAGGCGTCAGCCACCACACCCAGCCCTAAAAAGCCTTTTTAAAGTAAATTGGTAAATGTAATAAATTCAGCAAATCAGCCATTTAGCATGTTAATTTTCAAAGATGGTTTTGTCACACTGACCCAGAGTCCTGGGCCTTCCACATATTGTCATCCCCCTGGGCCTACCACAGTGCTGAGATATAAAGCAGTGCTCAAGAAAGACACCATCAGCGAATAGTTAGTATTCAGCAAGTGTGTGTCCTAGCTGGTGTTGCTGGCTCAGGGGCATCTTCCAGGCAATCCTGAATTAATTTGTATTTCCATAGACAGATGCACAGACTTTGTCATAAGTCTGTGAACTGGAGCACACAGGGCCAGATTTCTAGCAATCCTGCTGTTGCTTACACAACACCCTGGGAGCCCTGATTCATCTTCTGCCTCCCTGCTGAATCCCAGTTATCAGTACATAAAACAGAAGGTGGAAACTCCAAGCCCGGACAAGAATGTGTAGGCTTTGGTTGTCAGTGCCGGAGCTGCTCATCTCCTGTGCCAGCAGCCCTCTCTCCATAGCAACAGCAGGATATGTTTACAGGGCACTGTGTGGCAGGCTTGATGCCAAGTCCTGTATAGACATGACCCCATTGGCTCCTCATCATGGCCCAGTGAGGTACATTCTATTATCACTCCCTCTTCACAGAGGGGGAGACTGAGGCTTAAGCAGTGCTGGCTGACTTGCTCCCAGAGCACACAGCCAGCGAACGGTGGAGTCGAGATCCCAGCCCAGATGGCTGTTTCCTTCCGGAAGTCAGCCGTCTGGCTTGCGTGCATGTCTTCATACACAGTCTGCAGGAAACTTTCTGTTTATGGGAGAGGCAGTTTGTTATAGTGGAAAGAGATGGACAGATCCTGGTTTCTGGCTCTGCCTGTTTCTTTCTGAGTTTCAGTTTCCCAATCTACACAATGGTGACAAGACTGCCCCACGGTGGTCTCAAGGATTTAAATGAGATCATGTGGCAAGGACCCAATAAATATGTTTGTGTTGTTCTTCTTGTTCTAAGTTGTTTATAAATTTCTTCTTTTTTTTTCTTTTTTTTTAAGATTGGGTTTCACCATGTTGGTCAGGCTGGTCTTGAACTCCCGACCTCAGGTGATCCACCCGCCTTGGCCTCCAAAGTGCTTGAATTACAGGCGTGAGCCACCACACCCGGCCTGTTTATAAATTTCTACAGTGAAATTTAAAAAATATACACACAAAAAGAAACCCAGTCTCAGCACAGGAGATACACACCTAGATTTATTCTCCCGAAGTAACAAAACTAAGAAAACAGATGCACGAATACTTGCACAAGGAATTAATCTGGCCACGTCTCCTATGCACTGTGTGTGCTTGGTTGTATATCTGTCCATCTGTGTGTGTAGTGTGTGTGTGTGTGTACTGTGTGTAGCATAGGAATGTAGTGTGTGTAATATCTGTCCATCTGTGTGTGTAATTGTGTGTCTTTGTGTAGTGTCTGTGTGTGTAGTGTGGTGTGTGTCTGTGTGTGCATGTATTTGTGTGTGTGTTTGTGTGTATGGTTGTGTAGTGTTATGTATTTGTGTGTATGTATTTATATGTGTTTGCATGTATAGTTGTGTGGTATGTGTTTGGGTGTAGATGTATTTGTGTGTATGTCTGTGTGTGTGGTATATGTGTGTATGATTGTATGTAGTGTGTATTTGTGTGTAGTGTGTTTGCGTGTATAGTGTGTGTCTATATGTGTAGTTGTGTAGTGTGTATGTATCCGTGTGTCTGTAGGTATAGTGCACGGTGTGTGTGTGTAGAGTGCATGTAGTATGTGTCTGTGTAGTTGTGTGTTTGTGCTGTGTGCATGTGTCTATGTGTGTATCACTCTGCTGTGTACTGTGTGTATATACTGTGTGTCTGTGTGTAGTTGTGTAGTGTGTATGTGTCTGTGTGTCTGTAGTGCATATTAAGAGTCTGTATGCATGTATTTGTGTGTATCTGTGTATGGTTGTGTGGTGTGTATCTTGCTTGTGTGTAGGTATTTGTGTTTGTGTGTTTTGGTTTGTTATGTGTGTGTTTGTGGTGGGGACTCACACACTCCCCCAATTTCCCGCCTCTGGGCAGTCTGTGCAGGAGAGGGGAACAGGAGAGGAGGGTGAAAGCACTTGGGGAGTGCCTCCCCCTCTCTCCGGAAGGTTTTCACCTTCTTTCACAGAACCAGGGGCCTGGGGGAGCAGAGCCACAGCCTGCCCTCACCCTGCACCCTGCCTGGCTGGTGCCTTGCACTGGTTCAGTGAGAGGTGTATGAGAGCTGGTTATTTTTATCCCAGCTGGCTGGGTGTGATGCCAGTTTGGAAGCAGGGGCTGTCAGCATCTCCAGGAGAAAGTCTGCGGCTGGAGTCATCCTGTCTGGCTTGCTCCTTCTGTCCCTCCCTGCATCACAGCTGAGCACCCCCTTGGTAGCTGGGAAAGGCATGGAGGCTCTGGTGCTGGTCGTGGACTCCATGGGCCATGGCCTCAGAGGAGCAAGCGGGGCTGGGACCTCCTCTGCCTCCTAAGAGAGGGCACTGGGGCTGCAGAGTCCAGTCAGGATCCCCAGGTTGGTGTCAGGCTGTCTGACTCAGTCTCCACAGCCTGGGGCTCTGCCTGTCCTACCCACGCTCCAGCAGCCTGACTCGTCCACCTGGGCTGGGCAACTCCAGTGCATGTCTGCCCTAGGCTGGGAGCCCCTGTGCAGGGAACTGGGTGCCCACAGCTCTTCTGGACCTGGGCCTATCCCCCGCAGGCCTCCCACTGTCCCCAGGCCTCAGGGAGGGGGCAGCCTTGCTTTTCTGGGCCTTCCCCTGGTCTTGCAGCCTGGTTGCTGCCTGCCAGCATCTCTGGGGCTGCCTTACCTCCTGCCAACCTGTGGATCTCTGGACTCTCACGCCCACTCCCCTGCTGGTGATCTGCATGCTGATCTGTGCCCTAGGTCCACAGGGCTCACAGGCAGCTTTGGTCCCCACATTCCGAGAGCATCTCCCAAGCCCTGCAGCCCTCTGTCTTCCATGCCCCTCTCTTGCCCTTCACCCCTGCTGCCTCCTCTGTCTGCATCCCTCACCTCCACAGTCCTCAGGCAGGCTCCTGGCCTTTCTTCAGGTCTCATAAATGTCACCTCCTCTGACACCTCCCACCTAAGGTAAGAGTGTTCCCCTACACCATTTTCTAATTGTATCCTGCTATTTTCCATGGCAGTATGTATTCAGTTTAAAATGATTAATTTGTTGACTTTTTTGGGAAAGTCAGTTTCTCCCACTAGCCTCTAAGCTCTGTGGGGCTGGGAGGACATCTGCACGTGGACCCCTACAGACCAGTGCCTGATGCCAGCCATGGGTTGGGGCTGACCCGCATGTGTAGCTGGTCCCATGGCCCCTACAGAACCTCTCCCAACAGTCTGGATGAGGTGGGGTTACTTACTTTTCAGGTTTGTCGGGTTGGGTCTAAGGACTCGGTGGCAGCAGAGCCTGGCTTTTGTGCCTGGCCAGACCTTGTTAGGATGCCTCCTCCCTGATGGTGGACACAAAAAAGCAGAGACTGTCCTTAGCTGGCTTGCCTATGAGTGAGTAAGCTTCCCTTCCAAGGCCCAGGGCTCAGGAATATTTATCCCGAGAAATTCAGGATCAGCCAGGCTACAAGAGGTCCCAGGGAAAAAGTGGGTCTTGTTGTGATTGACTTTCCAGAAATAACAATGTTGGAAGACACAGTGGTCCCAGAACGTGTCCTCCTCACGTTCCCGTTCAAGTAGTTTCTTTGACACAGTAATTTTCCCCTCGGCAATCTAGTCTAAGAAAATAAGCCTGGCCAGGCGCGGTGGCTTACACCTTTAATCTCAGCACTTTGGGATGCCGAGGTGGATGGATCACTTGAGGCCAGGAGTTCGAGTCCAGCTTGGCCAACATGGTGAAACCCCGTCTCTATTTATTTGAAAAAATAAATAAAATAAAATAAGCCGGGACTTAGGACATATTTTATGTACACATGTATCTTTTACCACATAATTAAAATAGGGCAAAGTAGGCTGGGTGTGGTGGCTCATGCCTGTATTCCTAGCACTTTGGGAGGCTGAGGTGGGAGGATGGCTTGAGTCCAGGAGTTCAAGACCAGCCTGAGCAACATAGAGAGACCTTGTCTCTACAAAAAAATTTTAAAATTAGCAGGGCATTGTGGTGTGCACCTGTTTTCCTACCTACTGGAAAAGCTAAGGTGGGAGGATCACTTGAGCCCTGAAAGTCAAGGCTGCATTGAGCCACGGTTATGCCATTGAGCTCCAACCAGAGCAACAGAGCAAGATCCTGCTTCAAAAAAAGAAAAGCACAAAATTGTGAACGATTTAAATATCTAAGCATGTAAATTCATATTTAAAAGCACATTCACCTGATAGCAAGTTATACCTGAAAATATCAGTTGATTAATGCTACTTCAAGAATCTGCCAAAGATAGTCCTAAATGGATAGGAAACTTTATGGGGAAGATATCTATCCTCATTTAATTGTCACTAGGGTATCATCGGCAAGCTCCAACATGTCCAAAAATAGAGATCTGATAAATTGCATGTCATGGACTGTTTCTGAGGATTTCTTTTTTTTTTTTTTTTTTTTTTGAGACGGAGTTTCGCTCTTGTTACCCAGGCTGGAGTGCAATGGCGCGATCTCGGCTCACCGCAACCTCCGCCTCCTGGGTTCAGGCAATTCTCCTGCCTCAGCTTCCTGAGTAGCTGGGATTACAGGCACGCACCACCATGCCCAGCTAATTTTTTGTATTTTTAGTAGAGACGGGGTTTCACCATGTTGACCAGGATGGTCTCGATCTCTTGACCTCGTGATCCACCCGCCTCGGCCTCCCAAAGTGCTGGGATTACAGGTTTGAGCCACCGCGCCCGGCCTTGTTTCTGAGGATTTCTAATCACTGTTTTCCTCATTATATGTGTAGCACATTTTCATTGCAGAAACTTTGTAAAACAAACACTTGTTATAATCCCACTACTCAGAGATGGCTGCTGCTGACATTGTGTTGTAAATGCTTCCAGAATATCTTCAATTATAAGTATTTTGGGTGATTACAATAATATAGTGATAATTTAAAAAGATATAACCAGGCCGGGCATGGTGGTTCATGCCTATAATCCCAGCACTTTGGGAGGCCGAGGTGGGCAGATTATTTGAGGTCAGGAGTTCGAGACCAGCCTGCCAACATGGTGAAACGTCATCTTATATTAAAAATAAATAAATAACGCCGGGCGCGGTGGCTCAAGCCTGTAATCCCAGCACTTTGGGAGGCCGAGGTGGGTGGATCACGAGGTCGAGAGATCGAGACCATCCTGGTCAACATGGTGAAACCCCGTCACTACTAAAAGCGCAAAAAATTAGCTGGGCATGGTGGCACGTGCCTGTAATCCCAGCTACTCAGGAGGCTGAGGCAGGAGAATTGCCTGAACCCAGGAGGCGGAGGTTGCGGTGAGCCGAGATCGCGCCATTGCACTCCAGCCTGGGTAACAAGGGCAAAACTCCGTGTCAAAAAAAAATAATAATAAAATAAAATAAATAAATAAATAATAATAATAAACAAAGATACAACCTTGAACATATAGAGATACATCAATTAAGTTTTTAACATTCTACATGCAAGACTGAAAGGAAATAAAAAAAATGTTGAACATGGTTACTCTTGAGTCATGAAATTATGAGTGTTTTTCTCCTCTTTATAGATTTGTATAGCTCCAGCTCCTTCCCACAAAATGTTTAAATCACCATAACCACTAAAACAAAAAATAAATGTAGGCAGTTTTCTAGAGGGTTAGACAAGAGAAAAAAGGATTGAAACACTCAGCTACCTGAATCAAGAAAGGCAAGAGAGCTAAATATTCATATCTATAGAGGTAGGTTCTATAGATATGAAAAGAGCAAGAGCCTGCTTTTTCAGGGCTTGCTCTATAAAAGAGCAAGAGCCTGCTTTTTCAGGGCTCAGGACTACCTGCCAAGGCGTGCCTTCCAACAAATCCTGATCACAATCTTCCCAGATGCTGAAATCCTGCTCAGAAACCTGCATCCTGGGGGCTGCCTTACCTTCCGTGGAGAAGACGGTGAAGCAGAGAAGCAGAAAGCAGAGCAGGCTGGAAAGAACTAGAAGCCTCATGGTGAGAAGGCAGACTCAAGTCCTGGGGAGGGAGCTGTGCTGTAGCGTCCTCCCTTTATAAATGCCTTGGACATTTATAAAGGCGTTTCCCAATGGGCAGGGCCCTAGCAGCCTTGGAATTCTTCTAAAGGGTAAAGTCAGCCCCTCCCAAGAGGAAAACCAGCCTTTCGAGATGCATTTAGTGACCTGTAACACGGAGAGCTGTAAATGCCCAGCCCGGAGAGGTTTCAGCCCTGGCTTCAGTGGTGAGAGCAGGAACCAGCTGCCCAGGAAGAGTCACTGTCTAGAGTTGAACGTTAACTTTTAGTGTCATAATAATCCTATCAAATGCAGCTCTTCCTGCTCATTCCTCAGCTGTGTCTGGGAAAAGGACCACAAACTTGCAGGTTCTCATCCAAGGATGAGTCTTGAGCAACCAGTGAGATGTAGGGAGCACAGGCCCTGGAGTCAGATGACCTGGGTTCGAGTCCTTGCTCTGCCACTTAGCTGTGTGACTTCAAACATGTCGTTGAATGTCCTTGAATCGGCTTCCCATCTGTAAAATGGACACAGGGCTACCTCTCTCACAAGCCTGTATGAGGGATGTATGAGAAGCCATCTGCACCAACGTGCTCACACAGCTGTTAAAGGAGGTGGGGCCACAGCTGGACTTTGATGTTTAAGACAGTGAGGAAATGAGAAGGCACTTCAAGCACAGGGTCATCCTGAACAAGGCCTGGAGGAGAGGAGCCTCTGCCCAGGGCAGGCATGGGGAAAGTCTGCTGACAGGTGCAAGAGGCTCAGACACCACTCATTCACTGGACCCGTGACCTGGGCTAAGCTGTGCGCTTGGCCCCAGGGACACAGAAGACGCTATGCTCTCTTCAAGAAGCTCCTGTTGATGGAGGAAGCTGTGCAGACAAGTGACTGTCTCACAGCATTGCAAATGCTGTCTATACTGAAGGAAGGGCAGGTAGGTTGCTCAGTCAGAAGGTAGGGGTGGGAGGGATGCTTTGCAGAGACTTAGATTGGATCAGGGATGGCCTGGCATGGTAGGCTGGGTCACGGTGGGCTTCCTGGACCAACAGAGGAATCAGACTGACAAAAGGGAGACAGGGAGGTCCTTTAGCCGGGTAGAAACTGATGAAAGGAGTGCTTTGGGCTCCTTTTCCATCAGAGCAGGCCTGAGTTCCCTTTAATAATGGTGCATGGAGCCGGGCGCGGTGGCTCAAGCCTGTAATCCCAGCCCTTTGGGAGGCCGAGGCGGGTGGATCACGAGGTCAAGAGATCGAGACCATCCTGGTCAACATGGTGAAACCTCGTCTCTACTAAAAATACAAAAAATTAGCTGGGCATGGTGGCACGTGCCTGTAATCCCAGCTACTCAGGAGGCTGAGGCAGGAGAATTGCCTGAACCCAGGAGGCGGAGGTTGCGGTGAGCCGAGATCGCGCCATTGCACTCCAGCCTGGGTAACAAGAGTGAAACTCCGTCTCAAAAAAATAAAATAAAATAAAATAAATAAAAAAATAATGGTGCATGGATGCCTGAACACTTGCTAGGCTCTGGCCTCAGATGGTATCAGAGGGTCCAGAGCCCCTGGGCCTATGAGAGATGGTGGGTAGAAAGAACATTTTTCAGGAGAAATTAGGACGTTTCCCATGCACCCTGATGAGCCTCTGCCTGGGTTGCTCTCCAACCTCCGCTCCCAAACCAGCTCTGCTCATCTTTCCAGCCCCAGCTCAATAATCTCCCTGTGTTGAATGAAGCCTTCCTTGGGCCCTGGTACAGGTAATGCTGATGAGTGTTGTGACCTTTACCTCAGCATGCTGTTTCCCACTGGCTGGCGAGCTCCTGGAGACTCAACACCTGAGCCCAGGGTAAATGATGGGCAGGATCTCTGCAGTTAGGGGTAGGCCACGTGGGATCCTTGCACCTTTATGCCTGGTCAGGCCTCTCTGGTCAGCTGTGAGCAGTTCAGAGCTCTGCAATGTCTTGGGTGTGCTGAAGGTTCACTGTGACACCTGCCCACTGGTCCCAGGAAGCTGTCATCCTGGAGGTCAGACTTGGGCAAGAGGAGACAACCAAGCCCAATGCTTAGAGGATAAAGGAATTGAGGAACATGCAAATGCCATTCCAGCGATGAGAGTGCAAAGATGTATGGGAGGCTGTTTCCATGTTATTGAGCATGGCCGAAGAAAAAAATGTAAATTTTGTGTAGATGGAGAGAGGAAGACAGGAGCTCCCTCTCGAAATCAGCAAGTGAAGACGCTCACACATGTCACGCATGTGTGCATATGCACAGAATTGCGTTTGCCCTTGTGCTGTGGTGTCTTCCTGTCCTTTGCCTTAATAACGATGTGCTTTTAACCAAAAAACCAAAAAAACAAAAAAACAAAACAAACAAAACAAAAAACAAAAAAAAACACCAAAACTGAAGCTGGTTCCTAGCTCGAAGGAGGAAGATGCCAGTCCTTGGTTCAACACTTGAGGATCTTCCTGATTCCTGGAAGCCAATTCAGACGTTGCCCACTGCCAGATACCGGCCAGTGGTGCACTTCACTGGCCTTCTTTTTTTGTTACAGATTAGAGAAGCGATTTAGACCACATGCTCAGGCTGCTCAGTGGGCAAATCAACGGCAGGAGACTGCTAAAATGCGTGCTCTGAATGAAGAGATCCCCAAAGAGGCTTTGTGTGAGCAACATGGCTGTTTATTCACCTGGGTGCAGGCGGGCTGAGACCGAAAATGGAGTTCAGCGGAAGGCGGAGGGATAGGAGTTGGTTTTATAGGTTAGGGTTAAACAGTGGAAAGTTACATTAGTTACAGTTGGCGGTTTTTTGCGAGCTGGGTGGGGGTCATAGAGTGTGGGTCACGAGGTTGGCCAAGGTCGGTTTCAAAGTCCAGTGGCCTTGTCAATTGAGGCTGGATTAAGAAACACTAGAAGAATGTCTCAAGTTAGTTAGGCACCACAGGGGTTGTTGATCGTTTCTTCCAGGAACTCATCTCGGGTGTACGTGCAGGTCACAGAGAGTACCATGCCATTCATGGCGTGGTCAGACCTTACGGAGACATTTTGGTATATTTGCAAAGTTTTATGTGTTTGCAAAACCTAAAACTAATCTACACAAATAAACTAGTTTCTTTGAAGTATTCATCCTGCTACGTCAGTCACCTGTCTGGCCCCAGAGAGATTTCTCTTTGCAGGCTGTGCTCCGAGTCCTGATGTCTGCATGAAGCGGACAGCAGCCACAGCAGAGGGTTTGGGCAGGAGTCTACCAGGGACAATTGCAGAGCTGGAGCCCAAGAGAGGCTTGAGGGCGAGGAAGAAATGGGGCTCCTCTTGAGGCTGCATTGCTAGCCAGGACACTGCCGTTACTTGGAGTGCCTGCTGCGGGTTAATCAACTCAGCAGCTTTCCCTAAAGGTGCTTCCTAAGTTTAAAATTACATTCACAGTCTATATCAAAGATCAGCACCAAATTTTTCTCAGGTCTCATTTGAGGGTGTTGTCATGAGTTCTCTGTGCAGCATCACACCTTCAGCTGGCACTCACCTTTTACCTGTTGTAACAGGTACCCTCTTTGTTCAAATAGTTCCTTGTTGCTTTTGGCAAACCATCATCAGAAGGGAAAAGAACAATCTAGCTGGCAGAGTTCAGGGACGAGGCCAACTCCTAAAGCTGACTGTAATCGCTTAGCGGTGGTGCAGGAATTAGGGGCAGACTCTGGTTAGTGAAGAGAGATTCATCTGGATCCACAGATCAGCTGAACCAGGTCTTTGGTAATTTTCTCAAGCTCCCTCCACCACTCAGCCATGGCGTCAGAAATAGACTAGGATCTCAACACAGCCCTTCTTCTCACTGTAGAACAGAGACTAAAGGCACTAGTCTCTGCTAAGAGCAGAAGAATTTCCTATCTCAGGGCCTCTCTTCCTCCCCTACTCACACATACAATTCACAGATTTGCAGGTTTTCCTGGGACCACATGTTTCTAAGGAAGAAAGATTCAGATGTTCAAATTCTACCTACTTTTAAAAGGCTTACAGAAAAATGACTGAAGCAATCCATGCCACATTAATTTAAATAACACAGGGCATAAAATGGAAGCTCTACCTCAATTCCACTCCCCAGGGACAATCACTGTTCACAGATTTTCACCTGCTTTTAACATTTCAAAGAGAGCTGTCAAATTCTTGCCTTAAAAAAGGAAGAAACACCTCTGGCTCTTTAGAATATTCAAAATCTCATGTTGAGCTGAGAAAGGTGAAAATGAGAGGCTTTTTTTTTTTTTTTTTTGAGACAAGAGTTTTGCTCTTGTTACCCAGGCTGGAGTGCAATGGCGCGATCTCGGCTCACCGCAACCTCCGCCTCCTGGGTTCAGGCAATTCTCCTGCCTCAGCCTTCTGAGTAGCTGGAATCACAGGCACGCGCCACCATCCCCAGCTAATTTTTTGTATTTTTAGTAGAGACAGGGTTTCACCATGTTGCCCAATGAGAGGCATTTTAAGAGGAACACCTGTTAGTTTTGAGCATATGCAGTTTTGGTTAAAAAAATATATACTAAAGGCCGGGCGCGGTGGCTCAAGCCTGTAATGCCAGCACTTTGGGAGGCCGAGGCGGGTGGATCACAAGGTCGAGAGTTCGAGACCATCCTGGTCAATGTGGTGAAACCCCGTCTCTACTAAAAATACAAAAAATTAGCTGGGCATGGTGGCACGTGCCTGTAGTCCCAGCTACTCAGGAGGCTGAGGCAGGAGAATTGCTTGAACCCAGGAGGCGGAGGTTGCGGTGAGCCGAGATCGCGCCATTGCACTCCAGCCCGGGTAACAAGAGCGACACTCTGTCTCAAAAAATAAATAAATAAATAAATTATATATATATATATATATATATATATATATATACACTAAAATTTGAGGGTTTAGATTATTTCCAAAGGTGATTTTGAAAACTTGGCTGCCTTCTGAGAAAAAAAAAAAAAGTCTCCAGAGACACACCTGACCCACTGGAGAATTTGTAAGAAAAAACTTTTCTTCAATTTGATTGGTAATTTCTAAGACCAGTTAGCAAATGGCA